AGCTGTTGGGCTCACTTACCAACACATTCACATAAGCAAGCAAAGCATCAACTGCTTCAAAACGAGCACAGATGAGTGTCGTGATTGTTGGGAATGACCAGCTCGGTGATGGGTCATCACCGAAGACGACATTCATCAGTTGCTTTTTACTTCTTTCGTCGACCTGATGGATGGTCATGGAGAGTGCTTCGAAAAGCACATAGATAGGAATGTACCATGCGTTTCTACCGTCAGCTGTTCTACGATCGTGATTGTGATAGGTCGCAACTCTGACCTTAAGTAGTATTTGTAACTGAGCATGACTTATGAAATTTGAGGAGTCAGCTAATTTTTTTTTTATTTAATCGTCCATTTCATTTTATCGGCATCATAGAGTGGAAGTTAGTCTCAGTGCGTCTTCATTTATTTTATTCCGTTATTCACGTGAGTTAGTATTATTTAATCTACTGAGAGTTGATTTTAAATAGAAGTGCTTAAAGTAATTAATTAAAATCAAGGTGATGTGTTTTAACAAGTGGTATTACTTTCCTCGTTTGTAGAAACATTTTTTGATAGGTAATGCCACAAAAGGCGAGAACTCCACTCTTGTGCGGTTTCATAAAAAAACCTCAAGGTAATTTTAAATGAATTCATTTTTGTTATTAAATTCAAATTCGGCAATTTTGTTGGACCACGGCGTCCAACGGACGCTTTTTATACACAGCAAAAAATAAATTTTAATATTACATCTAAGAGGATGCACTTCAATCACGTCGAAAATCTCATGTAATTTTTATGGCCACAAAAATACATAAATGCAGTAAAAGCTGCGTAATTTCAGTTCATGCATTGTATTAATTTTAATTTTGTCCTTTTTGGCAAGTAATATTACACCATATATTCGACACGATTGAAGTGCATACACTTTAAAGGGGAAATTAAAATAAATTTTTTGCTGAGTACGGGCTTAAAGCTCTAGCCAAAAAAAAAAAAAAAAAAATAGACGGCCATCTTACGTCACGTTACGACCCGCCTTACATTGGTACCTAAACGGGAGAAGTGGCCTATCCGACCTGCTGTGCGACTTTCGACGAGGCTGTTTTATTTCGTCCCGTGCTGGCTGTGTAGCAGAAACAGAGTACAAAACCATAGCTCTGTGATAAAGTCCACCCAGGTATGCCCTTGCGTTACGTTTCACCTTGCTTTGATCCAGAGTTCACTTAGCACCCATCCACAATGCTTTATTCGGAAAAAATTCCGTCATCTTGATCGGTCAAATTATTCGTTACAGTTTGACTGCTTAGTCGTGAAAACTAAAAAAGAAACGACCAGTGGTCTCTCTAATCCGAGAGTGGCGCATAAGCCACTGTGTTTGCAACGTCTCACTTAGAGCATTTGATGGACGGTTACAGGCCATTAGACCATTTTAACATTCGACCTTTTGTCCATTCGACTAGTGTACATTCGACCATTTGTCCTTCGACTTTTTGTCCTTCGACATTTTTTGTTTACAACCTTTTGTCCATTCAACCTTTTGTTCATTCGACCTTTTGTATATTCGACCTTTTGCCCTTCAACCTTTTGTCCTTCGACATTTTGTCCTTCAACCTTTTTAACTTCAGCCTTTTGTCCTTCAAACTTTTGCCCTTCGATCTATTTTCCTTCGACCTTTTGTCCTTCGACCTTTTAACCTTTGACTTTTTGTCATTCTATATTATGTCCTTCGACCTTTTGTCCTTCAGCCTTTTGTCTTTCGACCTTATGTCATTCGACCTTTTGTCCATCAACTTTTTGTCCTCCGACCTGTTTTCCTTCGACATTTTGCCCTTCGTACTTTTTAGTCTTCAACCTTTTGTCCATTCGACCTTTTGTCCCTCAAAGTTCAATTCGAACTTTTGCCCTTAGACATTTTGCCTTCAACCTTTTGTCCATTCGACTTTTTGTAAATTCGACCTTTTTTCCATTCGATCTTTTGCCCTTTGACATTTTGTCCTTCGACCTTTTGTCCTACAACCTTTTGTACTTCAGCCTTTTGTCCTCCAACCTTTTGCCCTTCGGTCTTTTGTCCTTCGACTTTTTGTCCATTCAACATTTTGCCCTTTGATCTTTTCTCCTTCGACCTTTTATCTTTTGACCTTTTGCCCTTCGACCTTTTGTCCTTCGACTTTTTGTCCTTCAGCCTTTTGTCCTTCGACCTTTTGTCATTCGACCTTTTGTCCATCGACCTTTTGTCCTTTGACTTTTTTCCTAAGACTTTTTTCCTTCGATAGTTTGCCCTTCGAACTTTTATTTCTTCAACCTTTTGTCCCTTTGACCTTTTGTCCATACGACCCTTTGTCCTTTGACGTTGTGTCCTGCAACATTTTGCCATTTGACCTTTTTGGTCTTCAACCTTTTGTCCCTTCGACCTTTTGTGCATTCGACCTTTTGTCCATTCGACCTTTTGTCCATTCGGCCTTTTGTCCATTCGACCTTTTGTCCATTCGACCTTTTGTCCATTCGACCTTTTGTCCATTCGACCTTTTGTCCATTCGACCTTTTGTCCATTCGACCTTTTGTCCATTCGACCTTTTGTCCCTCAAAGTTCAATTCGACCTTTTCCCCTTAGACCTTTTGCCCTTTAACATTTTGCCCTTTGACCTTTTGTTCATTCAACCTTTTGCCATTCCACCTTTTGTCCTTCGACCTTTTGTCCTTCAACCTTTTGTACTTCAACCTGTTCTCCTTCGAACTTTTGTCCTTCGACCATTTGTCCTTCGACCATTTGTCCTTCGACCATTTGTCCTTCGACCTTTTGTTCTTCTACGTTTTGTCCTTTAACCTTTTGTCCATCGACCTTCAGTACTTCGAATTTTTGTCCTTCGACATTTTGTCTTACAACCATGGTCACATTACAACCATTGATCACATGATTGGTGGCCCTAAATAATACTAAGCCTGGAAACCTTCCAGTGATATGCAAGGATGTTACAAAAAATCCGTTGTTTGGTGACTAGTGTCCGTGTGTGATCCCGAAATACCCCGCCGGAAAACCACGATCCTGCCCTAACATATTGACAACAACATAAAAGCCTGTAGGATGCTCAATTTTTATCAATTATCAGAAATCATGACTTTTTAGGTGCCTAATGACATTCAATCATCAAAAGTGCGTATTCAAGTGAGACCTAAAGTTGATTTGATACAGCTAAAAAAAAGAGAAATTTCATGACAAACAACTTTGCTCAAGGCAGTATATGCCTATTGTTTGTCGTTATTTAGTTATGCATGATTTTTTGGAGATAGGAGAGTCATATATTTTTTGCATATTTCCTTTAAAGTTTATATATTATCAATAACATAAAAACTGCCGAATAAATATGATTTATTTAAAAAAAATATCTAGTAGGAATAGGTCAAAATAGAACTTATCTGAAAGTCATTCTGCTTGTTTGTGCTTATATGTAAATATCAGTATGTTCATCAAACTTGTTCAAAAAATCAGCTAATCCGACATATATGGGGATGTCAAAAAATAAAGATGTTGGGTTGCACTAAATTTCGATGCATTACAAATATTTTATCGCTATGAAAAAATGACCTTTTTGTAATCTCATCAGGACTACCCCTAAACCCCGTTTTTAAGAGTTGCCACCATACTCCTTGGCTATCATTTGGAGAGATAGAGAGAGCTTTGTCACAAAAGGGTTGTGGAAACTTCTATGCGACATTTTTCAGTCACAATCAAGTTGCTGCAACCTTTGTAACGAAAACGTGCTGCATGGGAGTCAAAGTGGGAATTTTGGGCCACGCTATTTGGCATCGGTTCTGGGGTTCCGGAATTTAATTTCATGGATTCCACAATACGCTTCGCCAAGGTATAGTTTTATTCAAAAAATAATAGGTAGGGGAAATGGCTCTAATGTTGGCCTATGGATCTAAGATTGGGCCCATCGCTGAAAATCTACTATTTATCAATTTTATCTAGATGAACGCGTCATTGGGACGGTACTAATGGATATTTTTGGTCGCTATTGAAAATGTAGTCGATTGCTGAATTTACGTATGGGCCCAAACTAGGGGCATTTAGGCCGACATTACATCCATTTCCCCTACTTCAAATCACGACAAAATGGCAAGATATGGTCAATGAAAACATTCGTGAAGGAAACCGAGAAGACCTCTGCGCTTCCACGAGAAGTCAAGGATGTTGAATATGGGAAAAGGTTTGGTAAACTAATGCTGATAATGACGTAGATAAAAAGGAAAAATCTTACCGAAGCAAGTGGACTTGCAGCAAGCTGCCTCGTAGTGTTCACGGGGATCAATATGGATTGGCTCAGACTGGTTTCAACGTTCGTTGATTGACCATTCTTGAAGTTCGATTTAAGTGGCAATCCAGAAGCTAGACTTTGGTTCTTGAGCAATCCTCGAGTAATATTCGACAGATCAGCAGCCGAATAGATTTATAAAAAAACACAACGGAGAAATCGAACTTCACGTCCGTTCACACGCACAGCCTACTCCGTCTGTAAATTCCGGAATATGACTCGGAATTATATACTTCGAAGATACCATATCTTGTGGTACGTAAAATCAATTCAAAATGGTAAGAAGAAATCAATAAACGGTAAACCATGAACCTCAAGTCACGAACTTCGGAACAAGTAAATTTAAATATAAAACACCCCAAAATGATAGCAGGTATCTGTCCAGCATATGGAATGAACACATTTTCAGCTCAACAAATCAACACAACATTTGACTTCCTTCGGCGGGAGCAAAAATATAAAATGCGTTCGGGGATCCTTTTCGTCGAGATTTACGGCCAGTTTGAAGACACATGTCAAAATCGGAACAATCGATTATCTGTCAAAGTCATGGGAAAAATTATTCCAATCGAGCAGAAGACCTGTCAAATGGATAAGCTGTCGCCTTTTTACCCAATTCAGTCTCTTTAGTCCCAGCCACTGACATTGTGTTGGACTAGAGAGGGTCTAGTATAAGAGAGGAGCAGATTCAAAACAAACTGGATTGGCAACCTAGGTGATTTCTAGCACCACTTCCAATGCAATCAAGATAGGTGCTGCTCGATTGGCACTGGCTTTGACAGTTCGTTTGGCTCTAAACCAGTCAGTTCTCTATTATTTTAGACCCTCTCTATATGTTGGTCCACCGTTCTGATTATACGGCTATACTATTCTCGACGGATCCGAGCACTCTGTAAAGATAAATTCGATAACAAGTTCACGATTGCAGGGCCAAAAATCACAATTATGTGATCATGGATCATCAAATCATGATTTTTTTTTGTTTTCTGTGGCGTTACGAAATAGTTCTTCGCATTGAACAGGCGTCATCTAAGTTCATAGATCTGGGATTTATTTCATGAAAATGTGATTTGCTGGACCACGTTTACGGGAACTAAGTCATGAAATGTATGTATTGTCATCTGGTAACATTGCAATCGGTTTCTGGGGTCTCAAACTGTTCAAACGATGCCAATAAAACATCAACCTTAGGACACTTGCCTCCAACCAGGAGCTGCATCAGGATCTTTGATAATCATCCCGAACAAATGGTTCTGAGTAAAACTATTTCATGGAGTGCTCCACTTAAATTCACCATAGCAAAGCGATGTATTCAATGTTCAAGTTAAGACCGGCGTTAAGTTCCAGTTGGTACATAATAGCCAAAGAAGAAGAAGCAAGGAAAAAATACCCATATTTCCATATTTTTGGATGAGCTCAACCACATTGCTCTCAAGGGGTGTCTCTCATCACATAAGGTACGAAGCAAATGCAAGAAGCTAGGGGACTGCCATGAGCGGCAGTCTAATTGAGAGGTGAAAAGAAGGCTTACGTAGTCACTCAGGAATTCCAATCATTCCTCGTGCACACAGATTCAAGATTGCAGAGCAGACAAATGGCAACGCACACGGCAGAGCAAGCAAGGACAACAAAATTGCTCGCAAAATGCGAGCACTCTTATCGCGAGGCAATTATCAAATTTCCTAATTTTCCGCTGTCAAGCCAGAAGCCAGAAGGGACGAAAAAATCACCAGCCAGCAGCGAACGCCGTTGGAGGGTGTCCTCGTGGGAGCAATTTTCCGAATGGACTCGCTGCTTGATGGCGGAATCAAACGCAATATGCTCATTTTCTGGGGTGGAAATTCTTCGGCGCTGTTTGTTTTCGGTTTCTTAGAAGTGATCAGATAACAGAAGGCACCATTCATTGTTTGGAAAAGAACGCAAAACGCGCAAATCAAGGGAGAGTTCACCCGAAAAATTGAAGCAAATGTAATATATTTCAGAAAACATCCATAACAAATCTTTATCTGCTAATGCTAAAGCATGAAATCTCCTTTCAAAGGCTTGCTTATGAACCAGTTTAAATTTTCTCCAAATTTGTGTCTGAATTAATAAGGGAATTATAAAAAGTGTCCACAAGTCAGCAACGGCTCAAAAGTCACAAAGTTCCGTCGAGTATCAGAAGATGGGATGAATTTGATTAATACTTTCACACAAAAGCATGCCTAATAGCTCGAAAGAAAGGCATGATACCGCTGTTTCCATCGCCAAAACAAGGAAGTGCCATCCTTAAAGACTGCCTTTTCCCCGTCAGCTGTGATACTATATCAAAGGATTCCATTTGCGTTGCTGCCAACTGACTAGCACTTCCACGCCTGTTTCATTCCAAAATTGTCCATTGTGTTCTATGCTTTCACTTTTGGTCTCGTTTTCTTTCACAGACGCGAAGCTAAAGCAGTCAGTGGTTCAACCGTGGCCTTTGATAATCCCTTTTCCAGCGATTCGCAGTCGGTCAAAAAATGAACATCCTTTCGGAGAGTTATCTCTCTGACGTACAACGGCGACGACGAGTGGCTGGGAGGGAAATTAATTAGAATCGAATTGTATGTGTGCGCTTTTTATCCACCCACAATCCGTCCCAGCCAGTCAAGCAAAAAGCCTGCTCAAGAGAACGAAACAAGACTCCATTTGGGGTGAATCACGTTAGGTATTTGCCAGCTCTGTCAAAGTGGTTTATTTTCTATTGACAAATTTCGGCCTTTCCGTCCGTTGTTGTGTAACCCGGAATGCTCATTTTTCCTTCGGCTACAAGATCTATTGGCCGCGATTGGCGAAACTTTTGATCTTTTCAGTTGGTTATCGCATTTCACCCACCATCGACGTTGAAGAGAAGGAGAGAGTTGATTTTCCGAGACTTAGTTCGATGATTGTTTTGCTTGTTTTTGTGTTATCAGTTTTTCGGAATCTGGTGGGGCACTAGAGATGGAGCAGAGTTGATTGCGTCGGATAGGTAAACAGTTCAATAGGTTGCCGAAGTTTCTTCAAATACATTGAATTATGTGGGAGATTCCATTATGGAAGAAAGTTCTTTTACCCCGTTCGTGGTGAATTTAAACCATTCGGTTACCTAACGATTTCGGCAGTTTCATTGAGAAAAGTTTAAAATTAAATTCATTCATTTAATTCACCGCGATTCACGATTAAAAACATATATACACACTACCAAAAAGTCATGTAAATTTTCGTGCCCTGAGACCGACACATGCAAGCGGCCCAAATGGCATAAGAATCAGTTGAAAGAAAGAGAAAATAAATTCAATCGATCGTACTTTTCGCCGAGTTGCGTACGTTTCGGTTTGGGAACAGCTAATTTTACATGACATGTTTGTTAACGTTCCATAATTTACATCAAAGATGGATTACGTCTCGTGTAAAAATAGTTATTTTTAAGTGTGTAGGCACAGGCAGCCCAGCTCATTGGTGAGCATTGCACACAGTGTACCATTGCACAGTGATCCTGAAATTTGCTTCTGGAGAAAATTAAACCTAAACATGTTCAGACAAGTTTTGAGTTAGTCAAAGGCGCATCTGATAATTTTTTTATTTATTAATTTTATTTATACATGTATAAACCGTAGTACAAATGACCGCATGTTTTCTTAAAGCTTACACTACACACTACGAAAAAGACATGTAAATTTCAGTGCCCTGAGACCGACACATGCAAGCGGCCCTTTTGACATGAGAATCAGTTGAAAAGGACTAGAAAATCAATTCAATCAAACGCACTTTTCGTCGAGTTGCATACGTTTCAGTCTCAGGACACTTAATTTTACATGCCATGGTTGTTTACGTTCCGTGATTTACGTCAAAGCTGAATTACTTCTCGTGTAAAAATAATAATTTCTAAGTTTGTACGCTGAGAGATGATCAGCTCCGTCAAGAAAATAATTTTTTACATTGATTTTTAAACTATACTTATGAGACAGCTTGTTTGCATTTCAAAGGCAGTTCATTACATAATTTCGCACCACGTTGATGAATAGAGCAACTGTAAATCTCTGACGAGTGTTAAATTTCTTGAGCGAGATAACCTCAAAAATTAAAAGATACTATGCAAATACTCAGGACCTTCATTTCGAATTTTGTATGTTTGGGTGCATACACTCAACTTCGCGTAATTTTCATAATTGCATCCAAAAATCCCCTTGTAATTGATGCCAATATGTTCAAAGCGAGGAATATTGTAAACCATTGGTTCTCAAACTTTTTTCGTTTGCAACCCACTTTGAGAAATTCCATAAGCTTGCGATCAACCAATATTCAAATCAGATGTTGTCAGGCAGGACTGGCCAACCTTTCTTAACATACGTTTTTAAATGGCTGTATTAATGTGTGCAGCTTGTTTATTTCTCATTCATTCTGGGCTAAAACTGATTATGATGAAAACAATTGAGCTAAAAAAATATCATTGCTGGATCCAGAAACTATTGTTGGCTCGCGGCTTTAAAAGCAGGAAAGCTCAATCGAAAATTTATTCCAAACATGGCTGATGGAGTGGGCCTCCCTTAGCTCAGTCGGTAAAGGCGCAGCTACAAAGCAAGACCATGCTGGAGGTGGCTGGGTTCGATTCCCGGTCCGGCCTAGGAATTTTTCGGGTTGGAAAATTTCTCAACTTCCCTGGGCATAGAAGTATGATTGGACTTGCCACACAATCATATCAATGCAAAAATGGTACAGGCATCGAAAGCTCTCAATTAATAACTGTGGAAGTGCATCTAGAACACTAAGTTGAGAGCACGCAATAAGCTAATATGCGATATGCAATAAGCTTGAAATGCGAAGAAGAAGAAGAAGAAGAAGAAGAAGAAGAAAAAGAAGAAGAAGGCTGATGGAGAATGATGGAGAATGATCTAAAAACACAAAAAGAGTCATCCAAATGATATCCATGTTGGGGAAATGGCTCCAATGTTGGCCTATGGATCTAAGATTGGGCCCATCGATAAAAATCAGCTATTTATCAATTTTATTTGGGACCGTTCTAATGGATACTTTTGGTCGCTATTGAAAATTTATTCGATTGCTGAATTTTCGTATGGGTCCAAATAAGGGGCATTTAGGCCGATATTACATCCATTTCCCCTATGTTTTGCTCTTCTGCTTTGTTGTAGCGCGGTTGAGAACATAGCTTGATCGGAATCGAGAAAAGACATAACAAAATAATTCTCATTAACACATGTGTATCATTTTCGGCGTTACTTCGTGAAGCACCCTACAATTTGGTCGTTTCGAGTAATATTGCAAAGGCATTTTTTTCATAACCAAAAGGGAAGAGGATTGTATTATTATTGCTTGCCATTTCTGACATAGCGTTATCGTTCGGCTAATTGATCGCTTTTATTTTTTTCCATTTTGAGATATGTTTGTTCTTTGCTCCCTTTGTTCACTTTTAAGCCAATAGTACGTTCAGCAAAAGGGCTTTACATTTTCGAAGCTTTAAAATGCACTCGAGTTTGGTTTCTTTCGTACAACGTGTTCAACGCATCATTTCTATAAAGCCTTGCTAGACTTATTAGCACGAAACAAAACTGAAAGGCTGGCTGTGGATCTCAGTGCTGTAAATTCTCAAAATCAATTGAACATTTTTGATGAAAATGAGAAAAGCAGCTATCCGCTATCAAAGAGGACCTCCTTCGAATGGGTGATATCAGTTGCTTAGTAATTTGACGAAGGCATGGATCATTCTCATTTGAAAAACGCTTGATATCATTCAATTGAGTGTAACCT